CACCAGGGTTTGGGGTGATGCTCATCAGGATTTGGGGTGATACTGGCCAGGATTTGGGATGATGCTCACCAGGATTTGGGGTGATACTGGCCAGGATTTGGGCCCCACGTGCCACCCCCTCCTTCAGTGCATTTAGATTCCTGGTTTTTCAGCCTGACCTTTGCATTTCAAAGCAACTCCCTAGTGTTGCAATCCCAGGCTTTTTAGGGCTGTTGTTGCGTGGAAGTGAAAGCTCTTTGTGTTAAGTGGGTCTTAAAAAAACAAAGCCCAGAGCAGTCAGCTCTTTTTTTTTTTTTCCCCATCCTGTTCATTTTCATCCTGACTTTCAGCAAGGGTCAATACAAAAGCTGGACAGAATATAGGTGGTGTTTTTTTTTTTCACACAACCTCCCTTTTTATTTCTGAAGTGGGCAGTGAGATGCTGACTGCAACTTCATGGAAATAGGGAGTCAAAGCATCTTCCTGGGGCTTGCAGGGAGGTTTTTGTCCCTTTCTTAACCACAGTGGAGCGTGGTCTGAGGCTTAAAAACACCATCTCAGTCCTCCCTTCTTCTGAAATCCTGTTTTACAATAAAGCACATGTGGGTTGTTGTGGTTTTTTTAATGTTATTGGTTTATTTTACTTTTGTTTTCCTCTTCTTATCAGGTCTTTGTGTGAAATCCCCACCGTGTCTCTGGGTGGAGAGAGACTGAGGATCCCTCCCTGGACTTTCAAACCTTCTCCACTGCTCGTATGGTGACAAGGTGGGACCCCTCAAACCCTCCCCCCAGCATTTTTTATGCCCCCCACTTGCCCTTTTTCGCCTTCCCTGAGCCTCTGTGAAGGATCTGCCACGTGAAGTTCCCATTTGGAACTGGGAGATTCCTGGTATGCTGATTTCTAGGAAAAGCACCTTGGGATCCTGGGCTTGGTGAAACCCAAGCACGTGTGATACCTGTCTGGCCTCAGCTGGGCTTGGGCATCTGCAGCCTTGTTCTCTGCTTGGAATTTTCTCCTAATTTCTCCAGGCTGGAAGATAGTAACATCCCTATGGAGAGGGGGGATTGTAAAAATAACTGGTTTGGGTTTCTGGTGTGGATTTCTGTGCAGCCTGTGCTGGTGGTGTGGGTCCTCCTGGAGCAGGTGTCTTGTTGTTGGGAAGGGGCTTGCAGAGGGGAAGGGGTGTCAGGAGCCCATGGCATTTCTACAGGTGCCTGTGTGGTGATTTTCATGGAGCCAGCCAGGTTGGATGGGGCTTGGAGCAACCTGGGCTGGTGGGAGGTGTCCCTGCCCATGCAGGGGGGTTGGATCTAGATGATCTTTAAGGTCCCTTCCAACCCAAACCAGTCTGGGATTCTGGGATGCACTAACCTGCAGTGTTAAGCTTGTGGGTAAGAGCAACAGGAGAACATCTCAGAAACACCCCGAGGCTTTAGCACTGGATAATTAATTGATCCCTTTCCCCATATCTGGGCTAATTAATTAATCCCTTCCCTGTGCCCAGAGTGTGCACAGAGAAGATTCAGGCTCGGACACCAACAAGCTCACCCAGCTCTTGGCACCACCCCCTGGGATTTAAATCTTAGAGAGCAGCAGATTTATTTTTGAATTAATTTTTTTTTTTTTTTTTTTTTTTCCCTCTCTTACAACTGTTTTGTTTCAAATGAATTGGGATTTTGGAGCCAGGCCAGGCCCCTTCTGCTGCTCCCAGCCGGAGATAAGCGGGACCGTGACGGGTCTTTTCCCTAACCCAGTTGGAGCCGTTTTCACTGGCTGTGGAGGAGTCTGGGGCTGGTTCCTACCATGGGCCACATCCCAACGTGGACCACATCCCAATGGGGACCACATCCCAACGTGGACCACATCCCAAGGGCTAGTCCTTCAGGCTCCAAGCCCTCCCACTGTGGCTGACGCAGAGCCTGTCCCCTCCCGCTCGCCTTGGCTGACTTCCCTGGATGACTCCACTAATTGCTTACGTAGGAAAACTAATAAGAAGGATGCAGGGGATGTATTTTTAGATGTCTCTTGGTGGGATTTAGCAACCAGTGAGCTGGAGCCAGCACCTCCCCATCCGGCTTCGGCGTCCCGGCCATGGCTGTTTGGTGGATGTTGGGGAGGTCCTGCCCCAGGAAGTGGCATTTCTGTTGGAAGATGTTTTTTGGGTTCCTCCTTTCTTGTTCATAAATGGATGATGGATTTGTGGATTCCTGGATGCTGGGACAGGATCTGTGCTGGGATGCCCTGAGCTGGAGCACCGTGCTTGGCAAGGTGCCTGTGTCCTGGTGGGCATCAGCACCTCCTTGCTTGTCTCCAGGAGGGTGGCCAAGGTGATGGCAGGGCATTTTGGAGACCATCACAGTGCCCAAATCATGGAATAGTTTGAGTTGAAAGCGTCCTTCAAAGGTCATCTAGTCCAGCTGCTGTGCAGCAAGCAGGGATGTCTTCAACTAGCCCAGGTTGCTCAGAGCTCCATCCAACCTGGCCTTGGATGGTGTTTTCGCTGGCTGTGGAGGAGTCTGGGGCTGGTTCCTACCATGGGCCACATCCCAACGTGGACCACATCCCAATGTGGACCACATCCCAACGTGGACCACATCCCAAGGGCTAGTCCTTCAGGCTCCAAGCCCTCCCACTGTGGCTGACGCAGAGCCTGTCCCCTCCCGCTCGCCTTGGCTGACTTCCCTGGATGACTCCACTAATTGCTTACGTAGGAAAACTAATAAGAAGGATGCAGGGGATGTATTTTTAGATGTCTCTTGGTGGGATTTAGCAACCAGTGAGCTGGAGCCAGCACCTCCCCATCCGGCTTCGGCGTCCCGGCCATGGCTGTTTGGTGGATGTTGGGGAGGTCCTGCCCCAGGAAGTGGCATTTCTGTTGGAAGATGTTTTTTGGGTTCCTCCTTTCTTGTTCATAAATGGATGATGGATTTGTGGATTCCTGGATGCTGGGACAGGATCTGTGCTGGGATGCCCTGAGCTGGAGCACCGTGCTTGGCAAGGTGCCTGTGTCCTGGTGGGCATCAGCACCTCCTTGCTTGTCTCCAGGAGGGTGGCCAAGGTGATGGCAGGGCATTTTGGAGACCATCACAGTGCCCAAATCATGGAATAGTTTGAGTTGAAAGCGTCCTTCAAAGGTCATCTAGTCCAGCTGCTGTGCAGCAAGCAGGGATGTCTTCAACTAGCCCAGGTTGCTCAGAGCTCCATCCAACCTGGCCTTGGATGGTTCCAGGGATGGGGCATCTACCACCTCTCAGGTACTGGGCCAGTCTTTCACCACCCTCAGTATAAACAATTTCTTCTGCAGTCACCAAGGGTGTGTTTTCCAATGTGTAAATATTGAGATGAGGAGTCTTCCCCTCTCCACAAGTTCCTTTTTTCCCTGTTTTTCAGATGTTCCCATCTAAAACCTTAGCGGAGCAGGGGGGAAAGGGAGCAGCCACGAAACCTCATTACCCCAAAAACTCCCAGAATTGAGCACTGCAGCAAGTAGTTCCCTTATTTTTCTCTTTCCTTTTTCCATTGTGGAGCTCTTTGTGTCTGGGTGGCTTCCTGTGCAGGGGGAGGAACCCAGGCTCCAGCTCTTCCCTTCCCACCCTGGTGTGAGGAACATAATTCTCTTTTCCAACACGACTTATCTGCCCTCCGAGCTGAAAACATCCTTTCTTTCCCTTTTTCTTTGGTTGTTTTCATCCCCTAACTGACTGATTTCTCCTGCTGGTTAACATCAGCTTCCACACCAAAGGCTGTGGGAAAGTGTTGCAATTCAAGTGACTTCCATAGATCTGGTTTCTGTCTTCAAAAACCTCATCTCTTTCTAAGTCTCCATCACATGTTTCCTTGATTACGTCTCGCCCAGCAGTGCTGCTCCCAAAATAGCCTCAGGGCCTGAAGGAAATCATCAGGAAATCTGTCTTGGTTTTGTTGTTTTTATTTCACCAGTTGGAAAAAAAATAGTCATAATTGTCTTGGCCCAAAAAGAAAAAAAAAGTGGCTTCTCTGGCATCTCGGGGACACTTTGTGCTCCAAAAAACCCTCAATTCTTGGAGCCTTGCTGTGAATTTTGTCTTTATCCACCCAAATGGTTGGGATTCTTTTGGTGTTGGGTTTGCTTGAGTTGTTGGAGGAGATGGTTGCTGTGCTCTTCAGCTCTTTCCATGCAGGGAGGTGTTGCTTCCTTGAGACTTGGTTACTGCTTTTTTTGGAGTCTTCTTGGTGGGCAGGAGAAGGTGAGGTTTGCCTGAGGTTGAGGTGCTGTTTTCTGAGTCTGAAGTACAGGTGATTCCTTGTGGAAAATCATCTTGGGCTCTATAAAATAACTCAAAAGGTGAATGGGTTGGATGGGGCTTGGAGCAACCTGGGCTGGTGGGAGGTGTCCCTGCCTATGCGGGGGGTGAGACTGGATGATCTTTAAGCTCCTTTCCAATCCAAACCATTCAATGATTCCGTAAGATCCCTGTGGTTTGGGTGCAGCTCCCTGAGGTGAGTGTCCACCTTTGGCTGAGTGTGGGAGCATTTTTGAGTACAGCTCTTGCTGAGGGAACCTCCTAGGGCAATGCCAGGGATGTGCCACTGACCACAGCAGGATGAAGATGAGGGTTGGGGACCTCCATAAGCATCCCCGACGAGGCTGTTGAGCTGTCCCCTGTCTGCAGGTGATGAGAATGGCTGGTGAGACCCTGGCCCAGGTTGCCCAGGGAAGCTGTGGCTGCCCCATCCCTGGCAGTGTTGAAGGGCAGGTTGGATGGGGCTTGGA